ATAATTAAAATAAAAAAAGTTAATCGAATTTTCGTAAGTAGTTTCTGAGATATCTTCGCTCAAAGTTTTAAAAAAATCAATTTTTATGAAATTAAATGGATATACGTAGGGTTACACAAAACGATCGATCTGATCTTCCGAGGTGTTTGACCGAGCCTTGCATCATGTGATCACACCTGGCTTTAGACGACCTCTGTTTTTATCAATCAACCAATCAAACATCTTAATTTGCGGACACACACACAACCAGGTCACTATAACTCTCCCGTAATGTCCTTCGGACAATGATCGTCGCCAATCACATTTATTCAAATTTTAGCCAATCAAAACGAACTTCCACTATGCTTAAAACCACTAAATTGCTATATATTGAGAATAGTCTTGCAACGAACAAAAAAATTCAATGTGTTGAATGATATTCGATCAACAAGTTGAATTTTCAATTTTAACCAGTGTTGGGTCTTTTTGAAGGCCAATCCGTCAATATAAATTAGTTACATCAATTTTATTAATTAAATGTATTATCATATAAAAGAATTTTATTAAATTTAATATAGATTAAGTAATGGTAGATAATCATATTCGGCTCAAAAAAGTATAAAATTATTAGTGTACTTAACTCTGCAAGTTGTGTAGACTCTATTGTAAATGAGATTACTCTGTCAATAGCGTACCATTGCTAAACTCTAAAATAAAATCACCCAAAATAAAATCACCCAAGCTTACTCTATTGCAGCACTGTTGCGCTCAAAACCTTTTCTGGTTCTAAGAAAAATCCTCTTGATTTTCGAAAGAGATAAGCTAAATCATTATTGTATAGTTTATTAAACACATACAGAACCAATTCATATCATTTATATAAATTTAAAAACTTTGCAATCATATGAAATGTAATAATAGCTGTGATTATTACGATAGAAAAGGTGTCCTAACGATTTTTAATTTTTACAAATACAGGTATGTAGATATAACTACTGGTCTCTCATATTCCCTATCACATATTTGCATTTGATCAAATTATTATTTATGTGACGTTATTGCAAAAACAAGCTATTGACAGTGTTCAATGTCAGTAATCGAATTACCTTTTGTTATTTTGCAATATTAGAATTTTATAAGTCAAGGAGTTCCATCTACTTCGCCAAATTAAGCTATGCATAGATTTATACTAAACCTTAAAGACTTGTAAATTAAGTGGCTGATTAATTAGGCTATCCATATTGCCAGTGACATTTAGAATATCAACTCTGTTTTTACTTATCAGTCATTGTTTCAGTTGATTATATACAAGCACGATGTAATGGTGTTTTCAATAAAAAAAAAAAAGAAAAATCATGTCAGTATGAAATAGTATTTTACATTATACATACATTTTTGTTTAACTTTGGTATTGAAAAAACGCGAACTAGTTCTAAGGCTAAACTTAGTGATGCCTTTGACATAAATATGTTTTAGGTTTTTTTTGCATGACAAACCTGATTTTTAATTTATATATATGTTGTATTTAAATAAAAACAATACTGCTAATGTCCCAGGAGTGTAATTCAAATATTGTTCAAAATAACATTATACAGTATATTAATACCAAAGTAAAAATTCATTTTTTACTATATGATGTTTCGATTGTAGGGTAACTTTCTCGTGATTGGTCAATTTTATACAATTGAATTTTATACAGTTTATTTACACCCTAAACTTAGTAGTTTTTTTTTTTTTTGCACTTCTAAAAGTACGCGTCTCTTATTATTCAATCAATTATCAAATGTCATGTTATAATTTTCAAGCGATTCTTTGTAGTTTTTGATTAATTCAACACTGCCTTTCGATTCATCATGTCGAGATAGATCATAAAAATTATTTAATTCCGATGAGATATCCCAATCTGTCGAAATGCTCTAATTCAAAAATACCGTTACCCCCTATTCACCCCTATTCACATTTATTATAATATGATAAAGTATAACTTTTTAATTATGATTAATACAAAAATACTATATATAGAAATTTAGCAATAGTCATTGAAATGTAACCCTGCCAAGTAATTACGTATGTGCGTACGTACATGCATATATGTCTATTAATAATTTTTTTACACGATGGATTAAAAACAATTTTCTGCGGAGACATTATTCCGACAAGATTGGTTAGCATTAAAGCTAATGTGACTAATTTTGTCAGGAAATGTGTTCTCTCGGGAAAAATGCTTTCGGAAATTTGAGCTATAATAGTTTTTGAGACCCGTATGTATATACATATAATCATAAAAATTTATAACTAAATTTATAATTGTACGTACGTACGTAGATTCGAATTTGATTGTATATATGGTAAGCAAAAGCCAACAAATTCATTGTTAATACACTACGATAAAAAGTTTCCCGCTTCATTTATAAAAATACTATATATGGAATCTATTAACGTTTGTACGTACAGTACGTACGTATACATATTTAGATAGTACAAACTGATTATATAGATTTGTAAAGTTGGTCCCTTTATTTAGAACCCAAATCAAATTCGGAGGCTTAAATCCGATCTTTACAACACTATAAACCTTTTTTAAATAGAAAAAAAACATTATTTATATGGTCTAATTAACTTGATAATCCGCAGATTGCCGAATTTATAGTATCCACAACACTCCGGGTAATAATTGCATTATCATAATATTATAATGTTGATTAATTACACCATTTTACAAAAAATCTAAGTATATCAGCAACGTAACTTTTACATACTCTACTAAAGGAAAAAAAATAATGACTTTATTATCAAAATAATCTTATTAATCAATGATACAAGTTTTTCTTTAGAAACTCCAGCCACAATATTAGTATCGATTTTGCTTTAAAGGAAATAATATAATAGATTATATACTTAGAATTAAGAAAAAAAGAAAGTATAAAAGCTGATTGGATTTTTACAGCACACACCAAATTCGATAAAGCTTTTTTCTTACAAGTCTTTCCAAGAAGAAATAAAGAATAAAAAAAAAATTAAAAAAAATTAAAAACAATGCATAAATTCTTTAATCTTATTATATTTCTAGCTCTCATTACCTTTACCACATCTCTTCCATATCCTATTTTTCGACGTGATTCACTATCAGGATATACTCAATGTGACGGCACGTTTCCAAACGAAGTTACCTATTTCTCTTTTAGTCCGAACCCAATAATTGTTGGTCAAAATGTTACATACACTGTTACTGAAGTAAACACTGCAACAATCCAAGAAGGTGCAACATTAAATGTTACAGGATATTATCAACAAAAAGTAGCATTTAATGAAGTTACTGATTTTTGTAAAGAGTGGATTGAAGCAAGTGGTTATAAATGCCCTCTGGAGCCCGGAACCTATTCACTCGTTGTTTCTGAGTATATTATGCCTGGTCAAAATGACCCAAAAAACACTACAATTGACTTTGATTTAAGAGTTGAAGGTATGTTCTGTCTTTCGAGTTTCATAATTTATTGTTAAACAATCTTTAATATATATATATATTATATAATTTAGTTGCCAATCCTGGAGATCCTAATACTATCCTGACTTGTTTGGAAGGAAAATATCCTATGCATTATCCGTGAAGAGCATCCAAATAAATGACGTCCGGAGCGATTTTATTTTTAATTTTAATAAATTTGTGTACTCTTAGCGAGCATAGTCTTATGTTTTATATATCGCTTTTCTTGACAATTACTATTATGATTATTATTGTATATTATTATTTTCTATTATTTAATCACGTATCATTATTTATATTTCAATATCGACATGTACATTTTATTGATTTTCAATTGTCAGATATAATAAATTATTAAGTCCACGATAATGAAATAAAACTATGAATTATACCCATACCCATGTTGATCTTATTATCGATCCATATATACTGTCTTCAAGATTAGAGCAACGAACAACTAATATGCGCATACATTTATACAACACTGCACTGTCAAAGGGTGGGCGTACACACGTACCCACTTACCTACCCATATCTGTATTGTATTATTTATAGTAGAAACTTTAAACTTTATTACAAGATAAATGCATTGTTTTCCTGAAGAAATTCCTGACATGCAGGTACGGGAGATGTGATGTCAAGTATGCGTTTATAAGTATAGTATATATTTATACTGTAAAGTATACTCCTTATCAGTTATATTGTAGAGTACACTTATTTATAGGGTTCCTAGGTTCGGTTCGGTCTGATTAGGGTTCGGGTCCGGTCGAACCCGATCATGAACCATGAATTTTGAAATTTTCGAACTCGAACCTGAACTTGAACACAAAATTTCGAACCCTGAACTGAACTTGAACATGATTATAAGTTCGGTTCGAAGTTCATGAACATGTTTGGGTTCGAGATATACTGTACCTAGGGATATTAAAAGTTCAGACTGGCTGTTAGTTGATCTATCCAGTCTGTCTTGGTCCAAAGACTAGTCTTTTAAAAAGTTAGACTGGAGGACTAATTAGGACCGGCTAGTATGAACTGAACGGACTGATTGTTAGACTAATTAAATGCCACATAAATTGAACCAATGGTATTAATTATTAATTTCATGGATTATATTCAAAATTATTAGTTTATTATTCGGTTTATTACATAAAAGCCACCTCTAAACAAATATCCAAACCTGTTTATTATTAGTGATGGCATGCGCAAGAATTTTGAGAATCATGCACATGATTTTTGTAGGCATATTTTAATGAGCCCTGTACTGTAAGTATATTTAGACATCTTAATTAATTAAAATATTAGATAAGTACGTATATCTAATCTTGCTAAAAAAAGCCTGTTATTATATTAAAATAGAAATTTTATAAGAAAAAACCCGATTTAAAAATTTTAAATTTATTATCGTTGTCTAAACCTCTAAAATTAACTTAGCATATTCTTAACTCCAACTTACATTCTTAATTTACGTTAAAAATATGAGTTTCATGGCTACGGGAGTAATCTGATTATCTTCCAGTGATGATCATAAATTTGAATACATTTATAGTTTTATCATGATAACCGGCCGTATAGCAAGAATATAAAATGTATAAAATACCCATAGCAGATCGTACGGAATGGATTATAAAATAAGTATATTGGAAATTACAGAAGATCCAGATAGTTGAATGACCAAATTATATGGTAAGAGAGTGTAAAATGTGTGCCTATTTTAAAAACTATACCATACTAATCTGATCATTTATACCATACTGATCTCGCTTATCAATTTGTATGAAGTTGCATTATAATTTGTGAAATTTGTAGATTAAAATCATTACTACAAATTATGATCCGTTATACGGGTAAATAAGCGGTAGATTTCCGGTTATATGAGGGCCCTTCAGGTCCTTATGTAACCGTGAGCGAAAAATAAAATAGTACTTATTCATTTTAATTTGATTTCTTATATTAAATTAGTCTGTAAGTATAGAGTTGTTAGACGAAACCTCGAGGTTTTGCGCTGACGAAACGCGAAACCAGTTTCGTCTTTCGTCAATTAAAATCTTAAATGGCGAAATGACCAAGGTGACAAAACTGATGAAAGGTGACAAAACCGACTAAACTAATAAAGACGAATATACAAATAATTGTCGATGAAAATCATTAAAGATTATGTGTATAAAAAAAATAAACTAACAAAAACAAATTTATAAAAATTACAAAAAAATTTTATTGTATAAAGTCGCTTGAATTGTTTAAAAGGAGTTAGAAATGAGTATTTTATATTGGTTATACTAGTATACTGCATATCAGTTCTAGTCAGAAATCGCTTGGTGCTTATTTTGTGATCTTACAAATTTATTTTGTGCCAGTATGTTTTTAATTCATTATTTGTGTTATTCCATGAGTACTATGGCTTTTTGACAAGGCTATTCAACTGGTCAATAACAACCCTAGCGTTATCCAGAAAAAATGAACTGGTTTATTTTTCATTTTATGTTTTTTTTTTTTTTTGATTTCGTCTTTTTGAGCATAAGGTTTCGTCATTTTAAGTTTAGGGTTTCGTCAGAAGAATTTTGGTTTCGACTTTTGTCAAAGGTTTCGTCTTTCGTCATCATGCGAAAAAGGTTTCGTCTAACAACTATAGTCTGAAATATGACAAAAAAAATTTTTTTCAACTGCTCCTTAAGTTATTTATTTCAATATGATTATAAATTATATGCCATTTCTCATTAAGTCAATTATTTAGGTTAGTTTAACCGGAAAGTATATTAATCAAAGCATTCAAAAGCACTTCTTATTAGTTTTATTAGTTGATTTAGTCGATAAACAATCTTTTATTCAAATCGATTCAGTCATATTATTTATTAATCGAAATATTTGAAATAATCTATGTATCTATTATTAATTTATTATTCATGCTAATTTATGATGCAAATTTATGATGCATATGACTTGATTTCTGAAAATTTATATACAAAATATTGATTATAAATGTTAGTCTTATATGAGCTCTGCCCTACTTACGCTTGTATTGTATATTATAATAGTGCTCGTAATCTAAACTCAAAAAATTACAAAAAATTAGCCTATATATGTTTGTTACAATAATTTTATGCTATATTAGGTATGGCCTAAATTTAGGGTTGCATCGGTCCCGCAAAAGACCGGTCCCGGTCCGGGACCGGTCCTTGCAATGGTCCTTATATTAAACTACTACATGCGCTTTATGTAAATTCTTTCTCCATATTTTGTCCCTTTTATACTAATTATAATTAGCACAAAGTGAAAGTCTTTAACTAGAGTGAAATCAATATGAGGAATTATATAAGTATTGGATTCCTTTTCTTTTTGCCAAGTTTTTTTTCTTGCAATACTAATATTTTTTTTAAATTAATATCTGTTAAGCTAGTTTGAGCAAAGCGTATACTATAAGCATTGTGGGGTTTATTCTATTTTATTGGTTTTTCCTTTTGTATACCCCGGATCTCTTACATTTTACTAAAGTTTTATCTCTCATAGAGTATATAGGGAGTTTTTATGACAGTATGGTACCATTCTTTTCTACTAATTATAATTTGCACCAAGTGAAAGTTTTTAACTGGGGTGAAATCAATATGAGGAATTATATAAGTATTGGTTTTCTTTTCTTTTTTGCCAAGTTTTTTTCTTGCAATGTTAATCTTTTTTTGAAATTAATACCTGCTAAGCTGGTTTAAATGAAATGTATACTATAAGTACCATGGAGGTTTGTTCTATTTTATTGGTTTTTTTTCTTTTTGTATATTCTGGGTCTCTTACATTTTACCAAAGCTTTATCCTTTATAGACTTGGATATAGTATATAGAAGGTCTTTATAACAGTTTATAGTTATTGTTCTTTTTTTTTAATTTTTTTTCTTATAATACTAATAGGCTTTTTATAGATTCTAATTATTAAAATATTGGACAAGATCAAGACTTGAACTCAGAACTAATGCTAATAAGTACTAGTTCTTTTTCTTCATTAGGTTCTTTTTTTTAGGCTCTAATTTTACTAAAGTATGATATTAGCACTGCAAAAATCTAGACAGGTGGAGAACTATTATAAATAAGTACAGGTTATTTTTTTCATAAGCTTTTCAAATTTTATTTTTGTTATTTATTTTATTTTATTTTTTTATAGAGTTTGTACTTTGTATAACACCAGCTATTTAAATATTTATCTATTATTTGGTTTATCTTGGCTATATAATATTTATTACTTGTTTTATCTAATAGCCTTTATTTATTTATAATCTTATTGTTAGTAATGCAAGTGCTATTTTAAATTAGATATAATATAGAATAGTACTTTATTTATTTTTTATTTTTTTTAATATTTAAGGTAAAACCTTGCTCTTATCTTTATTAAACTTAATGAAAACTTTTACATAATTAAAATTTTAAATTTTAAGCTTAGTGCTAAGAATAAGAACTTAGACATCTAGAGAATCTAATAGATAATCTAAATATTTATTTGTGGTCTAAACCTAGAGTAGTACTTTATAATATGTTAAATAAACATAGTTTATAAAATGGCACAATAACTAGAAAGTAGTTTTGTATAATTAGAAAATAATAATTATGTAAAATAAAATATAAAAATAGTTGTTCTAATATGAAATTTGTATAAGTGTAAAATGTATAAAAAACCTTACAATTCTATTTAATTTTACAAATAATAAATATTCAAATTAAAAAACTTATATTTATATATAATTTTCGGTAATACTAAATCGCACTACTGGTGTTCAACACCAGTATGCTGTATAACATGAAGATCATTATCAAAACAACAACAAAAAAAAACAAACTAATATCAAATTTAATAAATATTAGGTTAGAGTTAATAGCTAAAGGTTGGGGTAAAGTATAGTATATAGTAAAATTTTGTAAAGAATTTTTTTTTTTTAAAAAAAAAAGTGGTTTCATAGGTCAAATTTTGATCTATAGACTTTTTTTTTAAAAAAAACAAAACAACCAAAATTTTATATTACAACCGATCTTTATGTTACACTGCATTTAAACAATTTGATTGGTGAAAATCATTGTGGTGTTGAACACCAGTGGTGCGATTTAATAAACCTAATAATTTTTTATATTTATTTCTTTATTATTATTT